ATATATATATATATATATATATATATATATATATATATTATATATGTTTTACATTTATATATATATACAGGGTGTCTGACTCGTATCGTATCAGAACTAATATGCAGCTATAATAGGTCGGGATGAATAATGAAATCGGGGTCTCTTTTTAAACAACCACGTAAAATTTCGAGTTGTTAAATGAAGTAGATAGGCTAATTATAGTGTGACGACGTGACAGGTGGGATATACGGTTCGCCACGGACGGCGAAGAAAATGGACGATTGCTCGCGGATCTGTCTCATAGGCCAGAGAGCTTGCCCGTTTGGTAACAGCTACCAAATAAAATAGTCCCGCGAGCAATCGTCCATTTTCTTTGCCGGCTGCGGCAAGTCGTACGTCCCGCCTGTCGCGTTGCGCGTTCTGATTAGCCCATCTACTTTATTTAATAACTCGAAATTTTACGTCGTTGTTTAAAAAAAGATACCGATTCCATTACTCATCCCGACCAATTCTAGCTGTACTCGTATAGGTCTGGTAGTGTATGAGTCAGACACCCTGTATACAGGATGTCCCATTTTAATCGATGACCTCAAATATTTCTTGAACAGTGCATTTTAGGGAAAAATGTTTCAAATAAAAGTTTTGGGATTTCGAGGAGGACATAAGATGATATTATTGGTTTGACCTCGAGTGGCGTTGTCAAGGTCAGGACAAGGTCACTTTAAATTTTTTAAATAAAACTTCCTATTTTTCCTTACATATTCTTACAGCATACCTCGAGAGCTTTCCAAAATACTATAATATTTTTTCATTAAATATCTTTCGAGTTAAAAGGCTTCAAAGTTACAATATTGTTGCCATTAACATTGGTATCCAAGGTGTTCGATCGACGGCTAAAACTTTTTGAATGTTGTTCAGGGCCATGACCTTCACAACATTTGTCAAGGTCAAGGCGATTGGAGGCTGTTCCTAATATTTTCATTTCTTCAAATTTTACAGTGAAAATGAAAATAATAATTTAAAATCATGGAGTAACATGTGCAGCTTAATTAATCCCAAAAAGTCATATGAAAGTCACAATGTTCTTTGTGTCAAAATAATAGCTCGTAAACTAGAAGTAAAGTCGTTGATCGGTGATCTATTAATTTAAAACAAGGCCATTGATAATCCAGCCATCTAAGGCGAGATTATATCTGACCTAGCCACCTAAGGCAAAATCGTATCTGATCCAGTCACCTAAGAGATCGTATTTGACACAGCCACTTAAGGCAAGATTTGATCCAGCTACTTAAGGCGAGACCAGGAAATGACTCAGCTAGTCATGGCAGTGTCTGGGCACGATCCAGCCAATTAAGGCAAGACTGAGGATGATCCAGCCGGTAAAGGCAATGTCTGGACACTTTCCAGTCAATAAAGATCTATGCTTGTGTTTAATCACTTCAAATGTTCGAAAACCCGGCCTCTCACTTGTATGCACAATCGATACCGAAAATCGCCCACAACTTTTTGGAGGACATCTGCGTTAATATTTCTGCATGCTTCTCTGATACGGTCTTTCATATTATCTACAGTCGTAAGTTTCTTAGAATAAACTTGACCTTTGATATAACCCTAAAGATAGAAATCTAGAGGCGTTAAGTCTGGCAATCTTGCAGGCCATTCTTGAATCCGACTTCCCATACCAATCCATTTATTAAGGAACCTTTCGTTTAAATATTCTTGAACTGCTCGAGATCTATGAGCCGATGCTCCGTCTTGTTGAATCCACATTCGATTGTGCATATTATTGCCGACGTGTCTCAAAAGGTTAAACAGATCATTTCTGAGAAATGTTAAGTAATTGGCCGCAGTGAGGTTTTCTTCTAAGAAATATGGACCAACAATAACATTTCCCAGAATGCTTGGCCAGACGTTAATAGACCACTCCCTCTGAAATTCTTGGCTTCTTTGCCAATGTGGATTAACGGCTGAATAATAATGGCAGTTGTGTTTATTAACACCACCTCTGTTACTGAATGTGATTTCATCTGAAAAAAGAACTTCAGAAAAAATTCGAGAATTTTCTCGGATTTGATCTCGAGCCCAATTACAAAAACGTAAACGAAGTTAGAAATTCCCCTTTTCTAATTGCTGGGTTATATCCCATACAGCACCAAATATCTGAAATACATTCCAGGGACGTTTCAGAGACAATGTGATATCTCTGAGATGTCTCTGGGATGTATTTCGGACATTTGTGCTATATGGGATGGATATGGTATGGTTGAAACCTCTAAGTCTTGAGCACACGAATGGCTATTGATTTAGGTATGTCTTGTTCATTTTTTATTAGTTGCGTTGCTATCTGTGGATTTAAAAAAACGGTATCGAGACTATAGTTAGTGACGTGGCTTCATTAGGGCCAGATTTTCGACGTATTCGCTCGAGAGTGCACTGTTGTGCCCTTTCACATAGTCTTTTAATTATCGTCCTGTTAAAATGACGTCTATCCGGAAATGTTTCGGCATAAATTCTTTCAGCTATCGTATAATTATTCCTGGCCTTACCTAAAATTCTGATCATATCCACGATTTCGTTAGGCGGGTAATCAGCCATAATTACAGGACAATAGAAAAATTTGTGAAAACACTGAAATTATTGAATTCGCCACGAGTCTCCGCCCTGCGGTTGGATTAGCAACAATGCGGACAAGTGACGCTAGCAAGTGAATGACACGAGCTATTATTAAAGCTGATTATTAAAGAAATTTATTAATGGGATTTCACACGTGCTTCTTTGTGGCCCCAACGAAGCATTGTGACCTTCATATGATCCTTTAGAGTCAGTCGGACTCCACATGTTACCCCATGATTTTAAATTATTATTTTCATTTTCACTGTAAAATTTGAAGAAATGAAAATATTAGGAACAGCCTCCAATCGCCTTGACCTTGACAAATATTGTCAACGTCATGGCCCTGAACAATATTCAAAGGGTTTTAGCCGTCGGTCGAACACCTTGGGTACCAATGCTAATGGCAACAATATTGTAACTTTGAAGCCTTTTAACTCGAAAGATATTTAATGAAAAAATATTATAGTGTTTTGGAAAATTCTCGAGGTATGCTATGAGAATATATAATAAAAAATAGGAGGTTCCATTTAAAAAATTAAAAGTGACCTTGTCCTAATTTTGACGACGCCACTCGAGATCAAACTAATGATATCATCTTATGTCCTCCTCGAAATCCCAAAACTTTTATCTGAAACATTTTTCTCTAAAATGTACTGTTCAAGAGATATTTGAGGTGATCAATTAAAATGGGATACCCTGTATACAGTGTTTAAAAATTACATTCATTTTTTTATATTTAATATTTTTATCTATGTAACTTCTTTTGTTAATAAATTTTTAACGACCAACAAGCGACGGCTAAAACCTTCTGAAGATTATTGAGGAGGATGACTCCTATAACATTTGTTAAGGTCAAGGTCATAGCTGCTTGGTCCGTTTTTCTAAAGATTTACCTTTGTGTGACTCTTAATTTTATTTTATCTTAATTTTTACATAGTTACCAATAAAAAGAAATCAATAGTTACCACATGTGGTGTGAATATACACAAAGCTATTACATATGCAATGATATTTTCGTTTGATCTAATTATCTTTTAATATCCCTTTTATAGAAAATAGAAATTTAAATAATATTATGTTTTAACGTCTTTGGATTTATATTTTCTGAAA